TAGTTCACATCATCTCATGGTTAATCATATAAACTTCATGGAAAATTGTGTATAAATTCTGCAAAGATACAGGAGAAAACATGAAGTTATGCAAACACATTGGAAGTGTCTGGCCATTAAGATTTTGGATAGGAATTATCATCAAGTAATTGTAAGTAATAAGACAGGTTTATTATAAAATTATACTGACTTTTGCTTCCTAGGAATTTCCTAGCTTTCTTTCTTTTCTTTGATGCACAAATGAAATCTCAGCTGTTTATGCTTATGTCATCTTTTAGGCTATGGTTAGTCTCTCACTGGAAGAAAGATCTCTCCAAGTAACATGGGAAGTGGGGTGGGGGGGCAGAAATTATTACTTAGCAGGTTGCTACCTCCTTAAAATTCAGTTTATTTTCCCTTCCATTCCTCTTCAATACTCATGAATATTAGCAATGAAATAAAGCCACTGTCAAATAAGTCAGTTTTACTCAGTTTCATAAAAACTGGAAACAAAATGTCTTCAGTGGTATGAAGAAATAACATTGTTCAGAATAGGGGCATGTAGTCTTGCATGAGTGCATAATACTTCTTTCAACAAACTAGTAAGTTTAGTTTCTGTGGGTAAACTTTTTGAGTTAAAATTGTCATGTAAATATGGGAGACAAAACCAGCCTTTAAAATACTTTCAAGATGGAAAGTGCTCACTGTGAAGAATCTTTTTCAGGATCTTCTCCTCACTTTAAAATTACATATTTTGCATTCTATAATTTTACTCCTCCTTTGTTGTCACAATGGAGTTTATTAATGCTTGTGGCTCTTACCAGGTTTGGTATTCTTTGCAAATATGATTCTAGAACAACATCATACAGAGGAAGAGTAGGTGCTTATCTGAGGTGTCATCAATTACTTACCAAGGTCACCTCATGCTGTGTTCTCTGGGAACCATATTATAGGCACTTTTTTACAGCCTGAAGGGAAAGATACTGAATTATCATATTCTTTTTTTCAAAATAACACTCTGAATCAATCTCAGACTTTGGTCCTAAAGGAGTAACACTGAAGATTATCCATAGCGACGAACTTTACATGACTGATGGCTGCCTATCGATTTAGAATTGGATTGGTACTTCATTTTATTTTGGATGTATCTCCTGTAAAACTGAATGATGCCATTACCTCCTTCTACAGTTCCATGAAAGGCATACTGATAAAAGTAAGAAGTGAGCATTTTCTTCTGAATGTCAGTCATGAGACATCTGATAGGCCGAACTAATAAACCATGCCGGCTTATACTAGCACTCCCTGATACTGCAATACAGTGCCAGAGACAAATATAGCATTTTGTTGCCAGAAAAAGGCAGTTTTGTGTGACTGGTGACAGTATCATTATCTGGCTGTTATGCCTCTAAACTTACTAAAAAATAATTGATGGGCCAGCTGATCAACTCTTTCCAAATATGCAACACTGCTCTTAAATTAAGTGCTGCACTTATGATGATGGTCAATATGGAACATTGACTAATTAGCATCAATGAAATCAAGCATCAGGAGCCTCTGAATACACCACTGTGTTCTGCTAATTCAAGGGAAAACATTACAGTGAGTAGTGCTGAAAAGAAAAGGAAAACCAGAAAGTCCAGAATAGAGGCAGCTCTCATATTTAGAATGACAAATGAACATCTAATGCCAACATACCCAAACTTGCTTACAGTGAAAATGGATTTATTTTTATTCCACATAAACTGAAGAGGAACAACCGATGTTCTGCTTTCATACAGTGACCACTTCCTCACTGATGGACCAGGACCTGTGTTGCCACTGTCGCCCACTGGCTCTACTTTGCAACATACTACTCTTTGCTATTCCAGAATGGGTGCTGACGGTGAATAAATGGGAATAACCTTTAAGTGTAACAAAGGGACTGTAACTTAGGAAAGTAGCCCAACCTACTGCCCAGATATTGCTTATTACCTCAGGAAAAGGTCTACCTTGGAAAATAATAAAATTATGGACCTAATCGAATTTTCATCAAACGTAGTTGAAGTTCTTTCTCTGACTTTGCTGAGAGTTAGGGTGGCCTGGAGAAAGACTCTCAAATCTGATTAATATTTTTCATTTATTCAATAGAAGGAAGGAGGAAGAGCACAAAAAAAAAAAAGGGGGGGGGGGGGAGAAAAGAACCACCACAAATAACCATAACTAAACAATACCACAGAAAAATACAGGTGAAGAAAAACAAGGTAAGTTCTCTGTTGTTGCTGGTTGCTGTGGTGCAAACGACCTCCATCTTTTCTGGAATCACCTCTCTCCAGAAGCCAAAATATTACGGAGATTACAGGCAGTTCCAACCAAGAACAAAGTTTTGCAGGTGTGTATTAATCTTGCAGCAGCCAGAGTACAGGATGGCATTAGTCTATTTAGGTTGAATGCAGAGATGTGGCTCTTTTTTTTTTTAAAAAAAAAAAAAAAGCATTTCAGATTGTCCTTATTCATATCCAACAAAGAGGAGAGGGCAAGAAATAGAATCATACAGTAATATAGCTATTAGGGTCAGGCCTTTTTCTTTTCATTGACTTTGCCAGCAGGCTTCCTACACAAGAAGTCCAACAGGGCTGGAAAACAGGATTCATGTCTTTAAAACCGTAGTCCTGTATCTTTATCCAAAGTAATATACTTTGAGTTAAAGACATGTCATGAGAAATAAGAGGTGATGCTGGAAAGCAGCTTCCAGCTGCTATGATACGTCAGTCTTTCTGCTTTTAGTAGCTAGCTTATATGAATAATGGTCGGGTCTGAAAGGCCCTTCATTGTGGATCTGCTTAATGTTTTGAATTTGTATTTGCTAAATGCAGAGTATATCCCTTCTCATGTGAGGCCATGTTTGAAAGCACTGAAGAGTCATTTAAAGAAACTATAATACTCTTTGCAAGCCTCATATTCTTTGCTACAGACTGAACACTATAGCATTTATACAAATAGACACAGCTGCAGCCCCTGCCAGACACAGTTTTATGTAAGAATAGCAATTGAGAACAACTAAAAGAAAGAAAAAGGAACATATTAAAGTTTAAAACTTGTGGTTTGCAGTTCCTAGTTGCCGATTTCTTTCAAATAATTTGCAAACCTACCCCTTTCACCTCCTTTTAAAGAAAGGAATTAGGAATCTCCAGGCACTTTACTCTTGGGTTGATTTCTGAAAGTTTTAAGAATACACAATAGCTAGAGAGACTTACAGAAAGGAGGTAGTGTCCATTAAGAGTCACTAGTCAAAATGTCAGTTATGCAAGGAATAAGAAAGTTCCTTCTGGAATGGACTGGGTACAGACTAATTTCCCTAGAAGAGGAAAGAACTTGCAATAATTGCATTCCGGAGCATTCTGTCTATTGCAGCAGTTTTGGGGGATTGTTCATGGCTTGTACTGGATGCACTCCACATCCTAAACTGATTCACCAAAGGTGACTGTATCCCTGCCTGGTCTTGAAAAGCGATTTGGCCCCAGTCCCTTGTCTCTGACCAGGTTACAGAACTGGTTCTACTTATTTAAGGGTTTTCACAAACACATTTTATGTCATAGACATGGCAATCTATTACTTATGGCAAGCAATGAAATGTATTTGCTACTTTTTACTTGTCTCTCACATGCATACACATACAGATCTACTCTCATATCTTGCAGGTTCAAGTTCACAAGAGCGTAATAAACAGCCCATAAAGAAAATAACCGTGTCTGTTTTACAGAGTTACTAGTTTCGAAACCCTCTTAACTCAGCCCAAACCCCAAAACCCCAAGTGAATTCTCAAAAAAACTCACTTCTGTTAGTTTATGCACATAAGAACCTCTTTTGACATTAACATCAAACAGGCACTTTGTAATTTACTATCCATTTCATGAGGGAAAAAGAAAATACTTTTGGTGTTGCTTGTACTCATACTAATGCCAATCCAGCCAGAAGAGCAAGAGCTCTGGGATCATTCAGCAGGGTAGACTAGCTAAGGGTGAAGATGAAATTTAGGTGACAGGCATGAAGACTTCAAAACCATTTCATATAGTAGGTATGGCAACTATACTCAAAGAAATTGGATTAGGTAAACAGAAAATACCAATCCCTCACGCCACAACAGGCTGCCAGAATGCAAATCAGTTTCTAAACCGGTATCTTATGTCACTTATGTCAACATTTACTTATATTTACTTTTTCAAATAGTTGCTGCCTTAAAATACAACTAAAAGATTTTGAACATTAGCATACAACATTAAGAAGCGTAAATTAACGTTTTGGTAGTAATGTTTCACTAATCATTCCCAAATAGGCATTACTAAAATACTGAAAAACTTTGAAGGCTGACATCAGCAAGATTCTGACAGTTTATATGCTAGCATAAATATTAATTTCCTCCTGTCATATCCATACTCCCCAGATTTGCCAATTTCTCAAAAGAGAAATGGAACACGATCTTCATATAAGTTAAATGGGGATTATATCCATACATATCAGCTGAGGATCTGGGCTGCATAATCTAATTGTCTTCTGTCATTTTCCTAGACTCAAGTCAGAATAAAATTTATTTGCATGCTAGTACACAAGCAAATGGGAAACTGTGCTAGCACAGAAAATGTTTTTGTTTATTTGCACCTCTCTAGTCATTAGAAACCAGTGGAGAAGAAAGCAGCTCTAGCACAGATCTATCTGTAAAATTATGCATTTTTTTTTTCACATTTCTGTTCTTCTAACGTTTTGTTTCCCTGCACTCTTCTGCAGCCCTAGGAGCAGCAGGTGAGTGAATCAAGAATAGCCCTGAACACTAGCAAGCCTCCAGCTCTAATCCCATGCTTCAGTGTGAGACGGCTGTATGTTCTAGGCCATTTTTTAAGCTAAACCCAACTGTCAGCATAACAAAAGGTCAGTGCTGGGGATTCTGAGGTGCATGTGTGTGGCAGTTCAGCTCTGATCTTGAAAGAGGGCTACAGTGAATGGAGAACAAGCAAATCCCACAGCAAAGGGGAGCGCTGGGTCTTTACCTGTGTCCAGGGAGGTGAGGCTGACAGAGCCTTGCTCCACAGTGGCAGCACCCGCAGCCCTTAGGAGCAGCGTTTGCTTCTCACTCTTCGGCACTGGGGCTCCATGTTTAGACAGTCACTGGACAACTTTTCTCCCTGAGAGATTTGGTGCGGGGAGGAGGGAGAGGAGGAAGGCAAAGCCTGCTATGGTGAACGAAGGCCTCTTGCTCCCTCGGCCGACCTCGGGATGTACCTTAAAGCTCAAGGTCCTGCTGCGCCTTTCGCAGGTGACTGCGGGCTCTCGAAGGCGAGAAGCCCCTGAGAGCACTTCACCAGAGCCCTTCCCGCCACCTCTTCCCGCCCCACCGCCCCCTCGCACACCGCCCCACACGGGGACAAACTGCCGCCCGGTCCCGGCTCCCGCCTCACTGCAGAGCCGGGCGCCGCTCTCGCCGCCCGAGGCGCTCCCTGGGGCGGGGAGGGGACGGACAGTACGGGGAGGCGGCACCGCTCTCCCACCTGCCCTCCCTCCGCAGCCGCCGAGGTTAGTGATGAGGCGGCTGGCGGAGAGCAGCCGAAGGAGTTTGTCTGCTGCCTGTCCTCGTCTCCCTGATGCTCTGAGCCGGAGTCTCCTCCTCTCCCTGGGCTCGCACCCGGGCTGGATGCTCCGCTCGCTCCTCGCTTCGCAGCCACAGTCGCCAGCCGCTTCCCGCCGCCCCGCAAAACATGGAGCCGTCCGCTGCCCCTCTAGACACCACTCCGGACCCCGCCATCGTGCAGCCCCCCGGGGCCAGCCCGCCAGTGCCCCCCAGGGAGCAGCACCAGCAGGAGCAGCTGCGGATCGGGGACAGCGGGCAGTTTAGTGAGGGGCTAGAGGACAGAGGTGAGCACCTGCCTTCCTGCACGCTGCCCTCCGTGGCGTTACCTCCCCTCCGACCCGAGACGCCTAACACCCGACAGCTTTTCCTTCAGCCCTCTCCGCAGAACCCTGGCGGCTCGCTCTCCTAGACGCGTACCCTCCTCCCCGTTCCGCCACAGCAGCCCGTTTTGCCCCCTCTTTCTCAGCCCTGGCTGCTGCACACCGGCTCCTGCCCGCCTAACTGCCCCAGCCAGCCGCTCTGCGCTCGCAGCCGCCCGCCGTGCTCCTCAGCCCCCCCGGTCTCCTGCAGACTCCCTTGCTGTTCCCCTCGACCCCAGCAGCCCCTGCCTCCAGCATCGTGAGGGCCTGCAGGCCCAGCTCTCGCCCTGACCTGCCGCCGGCTCAGCACCCCCTCGGCCGCCTCTCCCTGAGCTCGCAATGGGCGCTCGCTTAACATCCCCTCCCTTCCCCCCTCGGAGCTTTTCCCCTTTTTAGCTCTGGTGCAAGAGAAGCCACCCCACGGTAGCTTTACGGTATTTTCATAAACTCTATTCGTGGCTGCTCCCACCTCGCCCAAAAACTTGGCTGCTTGGCGGGGAGCGGGTACCGGCGGGCGGGCGGTGGCACATGGCGCCGCTCCCGCCCCACCTGCGAGAGCAGAGCCTGGGCCGCGGGCGCAGGCAGCGTCGGGGACCCAGGGGACTCCGGGGAGGGGCAGGTAGTGCCCGCCAGCGTCAGGCAGTGCCGGAGGTCTGCTCGCCTCTGAAGTTACTTGCAGGCGGGGCTGGTGGCAGCCACTTCCCGAGCGGGGGCATAACGGGGTGTTTTTGTGGTGGCCGCTGCCGCCAGGCTGGGTAGCGAAGTAAGGGGGCTTACCTTACTCCTTGTCCTCCTTCCGCTACAGTGTAATGCACTTCCACATTACTCGTGGTTGTTTTTTTATTATTTGCCTAAATATGTGGCCAGGGATGGAAAGCTGCCCGCTCCAAACCGCGATAATCTTTAATGTGAAGCACACCTATTTCAGATATTTGTTAAATAGCATGTGAGGTACTCACCTGCTGCCCGTAAAGAGCTGCCATTTTAACCCTCCCCATTGCCTTGTCCTCCACAATGCCTCTAGGCTCCTCTTCCACATAATTTGTCTCCATTTTTTTATTTCACACACAAGCTTTGCTTAATCTCTCTGTTGCCTTTTCTCTTTTTTTTTTTTTGTTTGCTTTCAGCATCCCTGAGTCCCTTGTGTTCTTGGTTTTCATCCCATCCTATGTAATCTCTGTATTTCCTTTTCTTTCCCTGGTTTTCCAAATGCTTGTGCCTGCTCGCAGATCCTAATGAGAGGCAGAGAAGTAAAGGGGAAGAGCAGTCACTGTCTTCCCTGACAGCTTTCAGTCATGCCTGGGCTGGGACAGCCCTTTCTTCAGGGGCAGCCTTGTTGTCACTGTCAATGGCAGAGGACAGACATTGAGACTGAGGGCAATTCGAGGCTTCAGTTCTGTTTAAATAATGGGAATTGGGAATTTTGATTATGGTTCAAACATGGGAGCTTGACTACAGAAATTTGTAATTTGTGCTCAGTATAACATCTAAAGATGAAAGCTGGACCATTAGGTATTAAGGGTAATTCCAAAAGGAGACTGTCATACCTAACCTTATATCTCTTTCTAGGAGGGAATTGAGACTAAAGCTGCTGACTTTATTTCCTTCTCTGACTTTGTGGTATTTCTATGGCCCTTGCAGTAGCTTTCTTTTAGCCTTTCCTGTAGTCACCAATTCCAGCTACCAGGATAATTCCCAGTCATTGCAAGGGAAAATCTGGTATGCTTTTTGCAGGTTGTCCCTATTGAAATTATTACAGTCTGTCCTTTTAGATTGTACTTTTCCTTATGATCCTTTCCAATGAATCATAGCAGATTCAATTATAGAGCTGATACTTCCATGTTTGCTAAAAATAAAAACTAACCCTAAATTTTGGAACAAGATATTTGCTCTTTAAGAGTCAGATTCAAAACCAGTGATAATTTTGTGGATGGGGTCCTTAAATTAACATCTTAGGTGAACAGTTTTTCTGTTAGCCTTATCCTTTCACAAATTATAACTTGACATTTTAGAATGATCCCTTAGCCAAATAGAAAAGTACTTCTGGTAAGTCAGCATATGGTAAAGAATATCCTAGAATCACTTCACAAATATGCCAAGCTTGTGTTCTGCAACTGTTAGGCAGGTTTTTTCTCCTTCTGATTTTTTTATGGGAAGAAAATCTGTTAATATGTGAAGGTATTGAAAGATAAAGTAAAAATCCAGTGGCTTTAACCAGCTCATCATCTTTTCTTTACCTTAAGGATATCTATGTGTTAAATAAATTAATGGCAATAAAATTTCTCAGTTTGTTAATTTCAGGGTGGAAAAATTTTATCAGAAAATGCTACCTTTTATTTTTGTAGCAACACAGGTCATACTGACAGATTATCTTTCAGCCTCCTGTGGATGCTTAGAACCTGTTTTCTTATGGTCAGTGGAAAAAATATGGAGGTTTACCTTGTGAATTGTGTTGTTGTGTGTAAATTAATGAGCTGTCGTTGCTTCTAAATAATTTTCATGCTATGGGCTTGGTAGTCATGTTAATGATTTTGTGGTTTTGCGTGCCATCCCCTAGGACACTCATAAGAATAATACGGTCTTTTTCAGGGGTGAAAATTGGAATTACAGAAAAATTATTTCAATTATTCTAGGAAGGGATCACATCTCTGACGGCTAGAATATGCCAGCCATTTTGAGAGAGAAACACACACATCGGAAGTGGTTCAGTTTTATAAGGATTGCGGTCTGTGTCATATTGGACACGTGCTTGACATGTGAATAGTAATCAGCAGTGCTTTGCTAGCTGTGGGACTTATTATTCATTTCCCAGTTTAATTAGGATATTATTTGATTTATAAGCATGAACTGTGTATGTTGGACTTCCAAGATAATAGTGAGCTGTAGCCATGAATTACAGGATTTCTTTGAGGAAAGAAACAGGTGAGGATGTCTGTCATTCTGGTGTGTGTTTATTTGAGATTTGAGATACTGAGAATCAAAATTGGCTAAGAATACCTATTTTGTTTTACATTCCAACAAGATTTGAACTGCAATTTAGAATCCTTGATTTGGGGAAGGGGAGCAAGAGGGGTGAGGACACAAAATGTGAGATGTGTATTCTCTATGCTTATATGAGTAAAAGTATCTCCTATATTTCAAGATGTATTGTTGATTACCTCATATCAGACAGCAGTTTGCATCATTATGTGTAGTAGCAGAATTTAGGCCAGACATTGGGTAGAGATAAAAAAATATTCACACAAATGAAAGCGGTCTATGTGAGAAATAGCTGTGCAGTAGCATCAGTAAAAGACTCAAACCTTTCAGAATTGTCATCTGGTAGTTTTCATGCATTAAACAGGCAGAGAATGCACATAATAAGAAACAAACATTACTTCAATATAGAGCTTAGTGCATGTAAGTTTGCAAATTATTTTTCCATTCATAAGGAGGGGAGTGTGTAGTGCAAAAGTGAGGTAATCCTTTAATTTTTCTAAAAAGACAGTATAAGCACGAAATTCCCACAGAAGCTTTCTGATCAGTCATAAAGAAACTTACTCTGCTTTATTGTATTTGAGGTGAAAAAAGCACCAAGAACCTTTCCAAGTCAGTGTGAATCCCACCAATTATGCTAGGATCAAAATCAGTGGCAGAATAAAATCCGGTGGTTTGAATTGTTACTACCCCTGGATGCCTGCCCCTCTACTGACACATTGCTGTCCCTGAGGCAGAGATGTCTGATTCCCTTCTGTATTGATTCCAAAACCATTGCACTTTTCAGCCAGTATATTGCAGTCATTTGAAATTAATATCTATTAACATTAATTACCTTGGTTAAACATTTTGTAGGTTCAGAATTTTACCAATAACTAGATCAAGTGTCCCTTCCTTGAAAGTGGCAACAGCCCTCAGAGAGAAAACTGGGGAAGGTAAGGATGGTAACAGCTTCAGCTGTGTTTTAATCTGCTGCTGAGTCTGCCAGAGACTCTGCTCTCAACCCTTTGTCTGAGACCTTATACCAGCTGCTGAAAGGTTCTGTTAAACCAGTGCTCTAGTTCAATGCATTCAGTGCAGAGAAGTGCCTCGAAAAATGATCATCATCTAAGAGGGATCACCCATGTTTTATGAAGTAGTTCATTGAGAAAGTTGAAAGCCATCAGGTGTTCTCTTCAGTTAAGCAGATTTAAGCTGGAACTTGCTGATGAAAAAGAATGTATGTTTTAAATTAGATGAATATATTAAGCACAAAAGAATCTGCATGGGATATACAGACAGCAACTGTGTTAAATTCTGGATGCATTTAAAAGCAGCTTAAGACCTAGACTGGGAGGATGAAAACCAAATAATGTTGTGTTTTCTTTATTTTTAACCTGAATTCTTCTCTGTGGTTTAAGATGAGTGGACAAAAGACTTTTAC